TCTCAAGCATGTAATTCTCAATTAAATCATCAGAAGGTATTGGTATACCTTGCCTAAATTATACTACTTTAAAGTGCATTTCCCCACTGCCCAACTGTACCTGATTGAGACGGAGGTGAAAGCTTTAAGGGTCCTGTTTTCCACAGGCTTTTGTAATGCTGAGACAGAGCCTAGTTCCATTTGCCTCTTGAAAGCATTTTATAGGTTAAGAGAAACATTTAGTACTATGGCATTTTTCTCTATTCCAATGGCTCTCAGAGGTTTTGATATACATAAGGATCACTTGGGGAAGTTGTCAAAAATACATATTCTCTAGGCCTCAGTCTCAGATACTATGGTGTATAGAGTCTGAGCAAATTCAAGAATCTTCATTTTAACACGTCTGGCATGATAAGTTCCTTTGACAGAGAAAGTGGCCCCTCCCACCCACTGAACCCAAATTCTGAAAGGTTTCCAGTGAGGTCTTAGAGGTAAAAACCAATGCCCTCCTCTAATGATCTCCCTAACCTTTGGTTAGCGTCCATCTCACTGACCTGGCTTTCTCCTCATGATCATTCCTTCGCCTTTTTTGCCTGACCCTTAAATGAAACCAGTGCTCACAGGCCATTTCCCCCACGCAGGAAGCCCCAACACTGGGTAACCCCACCTTCATCTACGCAGTGTGGCTGCGGCTGCTCTGCACAAGCTTCTCAAACGGCACCAAGCTTCATGCTCTCCTGGCTCCAGCTGCAGGTCTCTAACTGCCTCTGAGTGCTCCTCAGACTTCTCAGACAACGGGGCCAAAACTCTCCCTGCCCTTCTATATACTCACACAAGCTGAACTCAGAAGCTAAATCTTTCTTGCAGTCAGTCTTAAAAACCTAGAATCTTCTTTACCTGTCTCTCTCATTCCCAATATCAAAGCAATTGCTCAACTCTGGTTCTATCCCTAAAATTCTCCTTACAGTTTATCATGCTTTTGTTAATGCCCTAGTTCAGGTCTTTTAAATATCACCTGTTCCATCCTAAATGGTTTTCTCCCCATCAACAACCTCCTGGAGAAGCCAGCTCAATTTTTCTGATCAAGTGCGTCACTGATTAGATCAGCTCTTTGCTCAATGACTCACAGAGCCGCAGTCAGTCCAGAAGTGTTACTTTTCTGTTGCTCAAGACCATCCACCAAAATCTCCCAACTGTGGGCTCTTTCCCATAATGGCTGGTCTCCCTACGACCCACTACTGGTTCATCCTTCTTTGAGGTCCAATTCAAGAGTACCCTAAGTTCCCTAGAAGGAAATCAAAATAGGTATTGTGGGAGGTCAGTAATAAGGGAAATATCCTCAACTTTTGTTGTTCAGTTGTATTTAATGGTACAAAAGGGTTTCAAGTGACTGATAAATGTCCAAATACCCAATATATATTAATTAAAGGCTTGAATACCTTAAGTACTTTCAATGATAATAGTTATAACAATATTAGCTATTATTGCAGAGGCAGTATATGGAGAGCTGACTGTGTACTTCAAATACATTGCTTCCTACACTGATAATCTGTCAAAAAGGGAATAATGACCTTCACTTTATAGATTAAAAAAGTGTATTTTCCAGAGTTCAGACCAAGGTGACAGAGTAAGAGAATGTGGAGCTCATCTCCCTCTGTGAACACATCAAAAATACATCTACATGTGGAACAGTTCTCACTGAAAACTAACCAGAAACTGGCAGAAGAACTGCACAACCCAGGCTGAAACATCCATAGGTAATGAAGGGAAGAAAAGCATCTGAATCGGGACTTGTGCCCCTGAGTGGGGCTTGTCCTAGACTTGTCCAGGAAGTGAGCCACAGCCTGGGGGCCCCAGTCCTGAGGTCTTGAGTGGGACAGAAACCCTGGCTGGCTGGAGGCCTGGGGGAAGCCTGACTCCTCTTGGGAGGGGCAGGAAGGAGAGAGGCTGACCCTCGCGGTTGCAGGGTTTCCTGTGATCTCCTTGCTCCAGCCAAGCTAACGCTCCATCGCCACTGACTCCACATTCCAGCACAGTGCTGTATTTCTCCCGTGACTCAGGAAGAGACTCGACTGTGGGGTGCACAGGTGAGCCAGGGCCCGGCAGAGCCCGGGGGGGCAGAGCGCCTACTCCAGCAGTGGATCAGAAGCTACCCAGCCCGCTGACAGTGGCTGTCCACCACGGCTCCTTCCTACCCCAGCCCACGCACACAGGGTCCACGTGGGCCCTGCCGACCCTGTGAAGTCAGCTGGTGAGCAGCTGTGAGGAACAGACAGGGCTTGCATCAGAGGCTGTGTCCGAGCAGACCCATGGGTGTCTGCACAAACAGTGCATCGGGCCTCAGTCTGCAGCTGACATGGGCTGGGAGTCAGCATGGGCCCCACCTGCGTTAGCATCTCAGGGGCAAGGGTCCCGATGCAGGGACACAGAAAAACACACACATCAAGGGTATAGGGCTTCCCTGGCGGCTCAAATGGTAAAGAGTCTGCTCGCAATGCTGGAGACCTGGGTTCGATCCCTGGATCAGGAAGATCCCCTGGTGAAGGACATGGCAACCCACTCCAGTATTCTGCCTTGGAAAATCCCATGATGGAGGAGCCTGGCGGGCTACAGTCCCCAGGTTTGCATGGGCCCAAACAGTTGGCATGACTGAGTGACTTCACTTTAAACGGGACAGAGCCAGGTCAGGCCAGACCATCAGGGCTTCTGCTCCATGAGAGTGAGATCAGCCCGGTCCCTGGCAGGGCAGTGATGGTCCCTGAGCAGAGGAGCAGCCTCACTCACACTCTGAGGAGGCTCTGATTCCTCCAGCACCAGCCACAACCCCGAGCAAGCTGAGAGCGGCCAGCACATCCTGAGAAAAGAGGTGACTCGGGTCCACATCAAACCCACCTCTTCCAACAAAGGCACTGGGCACACACAGTCTGTACAGAAATGTGCCACTTAAGCTTCCCCTTTGAAGGCCTAAAGAGGCAGCTATTTTACCTAAATGCATAAAGGCATACAAGGTTAAGCAAAATAAAAGGACAGGTGAAAAGTTATGACACCGTCCACAAGTACTGCGGACCAAGACTTAATCTTCAGTGTATCACTGAGTGAGCTCTAAATTTATGCTGACAGCTTATTAGAAGTGGATTTAGAGTATTTGGAATGTAAAAGTATGTTTTAAATGCATAGGATGAGTGATGAACATGTAAGTAAACTTATTGTGTAACAGCTTCATTAATTTACTGTCATACTAATTTATTTCATTAATACCTTGCTGTCTTCAAGCTCTTAAAAGATTATCTCTTTGATTCCAGTACTTAATAGATTGTTTAGCATTTCCTAATAAAAGGGCTCCATCTAGTGGAGCAATTCAATCATTTTTGCAAGACAGAAGGTAGCAAGGTTAATTAAATCCCTTATATTAAGGCCTGACAGCGGTGATAGTTTCAGGGAAATGCTTGTTCTGATGTGCACAGTGCCTATTCTTCACCTTGCCTTGATAAAAAGGCAGAAGATGGAGGTAAGGTACATGAAGTATGCTGGGATTTACTATATAAATTCAAGGCATTAACCATCAGTAAGACACCAAAGTGGCTCTCCTCTAAAAACACTAATTTACGAGTGCGCTCGCTAAGCTTTCGAAAACAGAGTTTGAAGTTTATTGTTGTCTCTAGTAAGTAGGACAAGCCTTATATTGTGTAGGTGCTTAAGAACTGCTGAAAAGGTCCACATACTTTTACAAAGTCAATAAAAATGCTATGGCTGAATAACTTCTAAAAGAACTATATAGTAATACTTTAATCATATCTGACTCCTTTCCTTCACAGCCTCAAGTAGCTGGTTGTGGCCAGTTCAAAATTTCCTGGGTACATCCAAAAAAAAAAAAAAAAAAACTAGGTTGGTCCTTCAAATGTTCTCATTTATATTCCCTTTCAAAAAGCATTTATTAAATACTTGTGACATGCACTAGTTGCTGATGGTAAAAAAGAAATCCATTAGTTTAGACATACTCAAAATTAAAACCAAAGTCTAACAAAGATGAGAGAATCAATCTGTAGTAAGAGGAGAGGAAGCAGGAACCTGAGAAGCAAGCAAGTGAATAGCCTTATAATAATTCATATCCTGTTAACAGTGGAGCAGAAGGTAAAATCTGAAAACCCTGAATGGAGCGGAGCACTCAAACGCCAGCGCTGCCTGCGGTAATCAGCTCTGCCGCAGCACGGAGGCCACTAAGGATGAGCACAGTCTGGACCTAGAGACTCACACCGAGGGAAGTCAGCCCGCCAGAGAGGGGAAAACATGGTGTGACATCCCTCAAATGTGGAATCGAAAGAGAAACCACACAAACGAACTTACCTACAAAACAGACTTAGGGAATGAACCTGTCGTTGCTGGGCCGTGGGGGAGGGACAGTGAGGGAGTCTGGGATGGACGTGCACACACTGTCATATTTAAAATGGGTCCAGCACAGGGGGCTCTGCTCAGTGCCACGTGGCAGCCTGGATGGGAGGGGGTTTGGGGGAGAATGGACACGTGTATATATGGCTGAAACTATCACAGCATCGTTGGTTAACTGGCTATACTTCAGTATCATACAAAATTTAAAGTTAGAAAAAAAGAAAATGGATGCAGTCTTTGGTGCATGTTCATGAAGCTTCTTCCAGAAAAAAAAAATGCATTAAATTTAACAAGACCAAAATATACCTTTGAAACATTTCCACAAACTGTCATCAAAAAAGTCTTTGGTGTACAAAGAGTTATTGCAACTTGTCTATTAGAAAACCTGTTTGTTTAGAACTCTTCCTTTGTGAAGGTTTTAACAAACAAGGTACTGCAGTAACACTCTGAGATGCTAAATGCTGTGTATGTATATGGTCATGACCATTTATTCCCCTGCCAAGAGAGAGCAGAGGTGAATTTGACCATTTGCAGAAGTGAGGGGCAGAGCAGTCAAAGATGACCTGCCACATCAACACAAAACCATGTCACCACTATTTCTTTTTTATTTTTTTACTGGAAAGTTGAGAACTTACCGTCCAGAAGAAACTGGCTTAACTGAACCAACATTTTCAAACAGTTGGGCCTTTGCTGCCACACTGAAAAATAATTTCAAAATGCAAGTTTCATTAAAATGCATTTCACAGCTCAAAGTGAAAATCAGAGCTAGCAGTTAACCAAACAAAAAAAATGAGTTAAAATTTGTCCCCAAAATATGAACTGAATTTTAATTGTTTTAAGTTCTAATACAGAGGTAAGTTTTAGATCTAGCGTCTAGTTCACTGAGTACCAGATGGGAATAAACCTGCATCTACTTCCTTTGGGGATCACACTGTCTGCATTTTCTGCACCTCAGAAAACTGTGCGAGCAGAAGAGAAGGAACCTTCTATCTCCCACTCCACTCCTGGAAGTCCTGCTGTTGACTCCATGGAGCCACGAGGGAAGAGTCGCATCAGCAAGATAAAACAAGAGCTGCTTTACATTCTCACAGTCAAGACAAAACAAATTCAAAAATGGTTTCATGTATTTTTAAAATACTTGAACATACTTCCTATAAAGTGAAAAAAGAGAAATCTGAAAATATGACCAACAAGGAAATTTGTGGATTCAAGTCTTGTTTCAAAGCATGACACGGGAAAGGCAACATATGAAAAGTAAGACTATAGGGTAGAAAAGAATTAAAACTAATGTAACCCAGCTAACTAGATAAGTTCCTATATTTACTAGAAGAGAATATAAATTTATTTGAATGATGTTTTAATGAATTGAATATTTAAAATCTACCTTATTTCTTAAATTGACAAACTTTTCTCTCAGAACTGAGTCATTTGATAATCTGCAGGATCATTTCACATCTAACGCAGAACATACACTCTACAATTTAAGTTCTATTTTATCAGTAAATCACAAAATAGAAGCTCTTCTCTTTCCCTCACAAAGAATAAAGTTTATATTTTCTCATCTCCCTTTACACATTTGGCTTAAAATTCATTTCCCTTAAGGGCTAGAACTATACACACCAGGGAATAGACAGCTGACACAAAATCTGCCTATACTGTGGGAGCTGGATTTCTGAGAGAACGTATGTGAAACTCCCTCTGAAACCAAAGGTTCTTGTTAATGGGATGAATGAACGAATGTAAGACGTTGTTCCTATGGAAACAGGCTTAGTGAAATGTCTTACTGGACTTTCAGTGGGTAATTAAGAGTCCAGCACCACCGCCACATTACAACTGGACGTGGCATAAGAGGAACAGCACAGACTCAACTGGAGAACCCTGGGTTAGAAGCCTAGCCCCGCCACTTACTAGCGGAGTGAGTGAGGACTGGCTCCCTGACTTCCCATCATCTGTAAAGCAAAGTTGATACTGCCTCCTGCAGGAGGACACCGTGGTCCTTAAAATAAGTAACATGTACAAGGATGCTCAGCAATAGCCCATGCCGCATCTGGAAAAGCGCAGCGAAAGTCAAAACATTAAGATGAAAAGGAGGAAGAACTCTCCTCTTTGGATTCTGATTCCGTATTTACCCCACTCCCCACTTTCTCCCATCTGCACCCTCACTGTTCTGGTCTACACACCCCACCCTCTTGGCCTTTACACTTCAGGGTCATATCCTTCTCTTAGAAACACACTCTCTTGCCTTTCCCGCTCCCTGTTCTCCAGGAGTTGTTTAAGACAGTGAGTATTCAGGTTTGGGAGACGAATGGAGAGTGGAGGAGACCACCCCGGCTAGAAAACAGCTGTATTTCTAACAAAGAAGTAGGACTGAGGATACGGGCAGTCCCAATAGCAGAGTGGTGGGTGTTTAGTTTCCAGACTCCAAACCACTATATTATACATGGCTTTCATGTCCTTAAGGAAAGCCTGCTTATAAGGAAAGTGCCTGAAGGGTGTACTAACATTCATACCACTTGCAGAAGAGGACAGGGTCCTGCAGAAGTTGGTGGTACCCACTCTATGGATGAGCGTTTGGCTGTGGGAATCCCGAGTTCTTTTGCACACGTTCAAGCCCTGTGTACCCATGGGAGACACAGAAAACACCCAACAAGCACCCTGTCACTTACACGGAGCCGGGGCGCTGGTAGCCGTTGCTGGAGGTGGTGTCCAGCCTTAACCTCCTGCACATTTTTGGAGGCAGATCTGGGTTTGGCGTGGCTTTGGGTGTCTCTTTGGAACCTATGGAAGTTAAACTTTGAATGGATCCACTGTAGCTCTTGTTTCCTGAAAAGAAAGCCCCAAAAAACAGGCGAGGTGCTATTAGACAAAATAATAGCAATAACACAGTCCACGCGCATGTAACAAAAGGAAGTCGTTTTCTCTGCGTCCAAATGAGAAGGCACAGAATGTTCTCTGGGCCCAGCGGCCCGTCACTCAGGGAAGATCACTATCGGAAGTAATTGCAAAGCATCACCGCTCAGAGAGGGAAAGTCACAGCACACAGGAGGTTTCAAGCTCCCAGCCCAGGGACAAAGCGGAGAAGCACCGTCTGCCCTCGCTGTTCACGCCTCCCTCCTGAGTCATCAAGCTCAACAAGCCGGTAGGCGACGCAGAGACGCGGCATTAGCCGAGGCTCCATCCTGGCTCACCTTCAGCCGCAGAGACGGATCTGAGGGAGGAAGCTGAGGCTCTTTTCAGTCCCGAGAGCCCGTAGGGCCCCTTCTTGGCCAGGTCGATGGGTGGGGACGCGTCCCCGGGACTGGTGACGGAGGTGACGCTCTGGCAGTCTGATTCCGCGTCCGTTTTGGTTGCGTCTTCTCGAGAACTTGACTCGGGACTCGTGGTCCAGAGACCAAGGCTCTTCTGTCCGTTGCTGGGCGATGGGGCCGCAATCCAAGGGATGCCGGCAGACCTCTCCCTGGGCGGGCAGGAGGCAGGCTTCGTGGCGCTGTTCTGCTCGGAGGAGTGGGAGGAGAGGGACTCGACGCTCCCCATGGGCGTGCTGTCGGGGCTGCTGCTGTAGGAGTCGCCTGGGGGTCGGGCAGAGACGGGAGCGTCAAGGACAGGCTCTCAGTCAGACCTGCACCGTCAGGCCCTCTGTTCCCAGCTCCCCAGTGCTCTGCGGCCACCTCGCCCCGCGGCAGCGCTAGACCTGGCTTACAGAACTGTCTCAGTTGCGCAGAGAGGCTTTAAAGCATTCGTCTGAACTCGGTGAACCCACTTTTTCTACACCATTCAAGGGAGGCTGTCTGTGTGCCCCTATGAAATCATGTTGCTTCTTGAAGTGTCAGCAGGCTGACTTGAAATCAGACAAAATGTGCTGCAGAAACAGGATTCACCAGTAGGAGAAGCAAGATGCCTTGATGACATAGTAAGAAATCAATGGAAAGGGGGAATATTGAGACGTATTTCTGCCTTCTGCTCTTCTGATCCTAGGTGATTCTGAGTTACCATGTAACTGAGTCCTCCTGGTAGTAAAGGTGCTATTAAATGTCAGCAGCTCCACAATTCTTATTTTTATCAATTTGTTTTACAATTTTTAAAAGGAAAGCTTATGGAAGAAAATAGGAAAGGATTTCTTTCCTTTCCTTGCTAAGAGTATAGCAACATAAGAAAATTTGCTGTTTAACTGGGTGTATTTTTTAATCTTTCTAAAAGTTAAGGTATAAGAAAAAACATCAGAGAAACAGTAAGGGAGTTTTCAAATACTACATCTAAACACCGATTGTGAGGAAAACTGAGGGTGGAGGGAGAGGGCTGGGTGTACAAAATAAAACAAAAATGGCCAAAGTTGAACTCATGCCTTGTGCTGAAGCTACCAGCCACGTTATGGTAGGGCTTGGCTCAGAATAGTAAGTTAGGGATAATGTGTGGTATAGAATCTCTTTTTATTTCCTTTCTCTCTCTTTCAGACACTTTGATACCCTAGAGATGATGCTTTAGGAACATAAAAGACGGAAAGAATGAAAATGACTGCCTGGGCCAGACTCTCCGGCTTTCCAGCTTTCTTCAGGACCACTTTGACAACAGGACAAAAGCTGCTACAAAGTAGCACCTGATGTATTTTACTTAATCACAGCTACAGGAAAGAAGGGCACTGGGCAAAAACTATTTTTTCCCCCTTTGCAGCAGGAATGAATTGGCTTGTCCAAGATCTATCCTGACATTGAATATTTAAATGTGGTGGAGGGGGCTGGTGTTGGGAGACAGTGTCAGTAGGGACATTTTCTCTTTCTACCTACTTGCCCATAAGGTGGGATAAAGCTGAATTAACGAAGACGGCATCTCCCTGCGGGTGGGGCACTTACTGTCAGGTTCTGCCAAACACGGAGTATACCTTCCTCTGGGCTTCCGGGAGCCTGAGGAGAGGCAGATTGCACGCGTCCTCCGGGATCCGGATCGAGACTGAGGCTGAGGAAGAGGGATGCTGGGGTCTGGGGCAGTGTGAAAAATCTACACGGAAGAAGAATGGACGGAGGTCAACAGAAGGGTGACACTGGCATTTTCATCATAAAATAAACTGAGTGTTATTAAATGATCTTAGAACTCTATGCTCCTGAATCAGCTGCCTGGCAAGAGACACTTGATACAAGAAATAAACCTTCTAGAGCAATTACAACTTTCTTTTCCATTTACACTGAATAATGTTTCTCCTCTGGGTTTTTTATTCTCCCCTATTCCCCAGCAGTGAAATTTAGATTTTCCAATATTTTTAAGAAATGTCTCAAATGGCAACGAATATCTATGTCAAGACATGCTGATTCTTTTCACTGTTACACTCACTCTTCCCCTTCATCCTGAACATAACCTGAGGGAAAGAGGACCCTGCTATTATCATTCCCCAGCTAGTAGCCCCTTGCTTCTCAGAAGGTGTTGGCATGCTACTGGCCCTGAGCTGCGGATAATGTGACGAGCTGCAGGCAGGCGTCTGAGCATGGCTGTAAGAGGCAGCTGTGGACTCCAGGGTTGTGAAAGCACTTCCAGTCTGAGCAAGATTCCAAGACTATCCTTCTATAGGCACTGGAAAGCAACTGGGAAGGAAAGAGGCACCCCCATCCTCTCACAAGGACAGTGTCAGACATAAATAAATCACAATGTTTAGCCCCTTGATGGCTGAGTTTGCTTAACAATCAGATCATTTTGGTCTTCCCATTTTCTCACTTTCATAATTATTCTAAGATCTCACTCCTAAAGAAAGCCTGCTTAGTGACTGGATATAGAGAGGATTTCAAGACTGTTCTCTGATTTTTATCTAAAATATTAGTTCTTCTGTATAATGAGAATGTAATTCAAAAGAGATAAAAAAGTTACAATAGACTTAATCATAAAGTGATTCTAAAGTATTTTCTGAATACTGAGTAAAAACCTCATTATGTAAATACTAAAGAAGAAAATATTGACAAGGTAATGATGTAGAAAGAAGGGAAACCATCTACCTAGAGGATTTTTGAGAAGTATTTAAAAACGGAATAAGAAAAAAAGAAAAGCAAAGTCCACATAAATAATTTATACAAAATTTATAAGACCCCATATAGGAGCCTGAGAGCACAATGAGATAACAGATGATACAAGTACAAAATTCCTTCTTGGAAACAAGATAACAAAATTTTATACTTCCACGTGAAAATTCAGCTTACCTTTTCATAGTGCTCTATCAGAATTTCAACCACAATGTTCTGAAACTTAATATTCATCATGGCAGCCACAGTTTCTTCCTGTGCTCTCATTAGAGTTGGACCAAATATAACACCAAGGTTTGAGACTGTCATGAGATTTTGTTGACTATGTAGGGACACTCTGCAAATAAAAGCAACAAAAGTATTTTAAGTTATATGTTTAATAATTATGGAATGTTCTCGTTTACCAAATAATGTTAAGATGTAAATGTGATACATTTTATGTATGTATGATACATAAAGATGTAAATATGATACATGAGATGTAAATATGCCACTACAGACTAAATTTCTCAAATAGTCAGGTTCAGCCACTACCAGCTGGCATTAGGGGGGTATAGTCTAAATAGATGTAAAAAGTTAATAAACATTAGCACAATAAAACATAATTACTAAGGTTAATCTCTTAAAGGAAAAAAAGAAGTCTTATTTTCTTGAATCAAGTACAATTGCCCTCGGGAAACTACCAGCTATTTGGCAAATCCTACGGTAGTATATTCTTTTAGAACAAATGGTTAAGAGTAGACTGGCTGTGATTATATTTGGACTTACCAAACACATTATTAAGAAACTACTGCTAAACATTTTCACAGATAACACTGTACTTAATTCTCCAAGAAGTCAGTTTTTCCTACTGTACAGATTTTAAAAAAAAAAAAAGCTCCTAAAGTAAGCATGATGTACCTGAGGTCATAGCAAATTAGGGACACAGAGTTTTGTTTCAAGTTAGACCTCCTGACTACAAGGCGAGTCTCCCTGACCTCCCCGTGTCAGATGACTGGTCAGGGCATGTTCCCATCCTGTCTTCCGTCCACCCATTCATCCACCCATCTCCAGTTCCCCGAGGGCCTCCCAAGTGCTGAGCACTGTGCTAGGCAAACAGCAAGACAAGGAGATCTGGAAGCATTAGTACTGGCTTGAGAATAAAGAGTCTCTGATAATACTGACCTTAGCAAAGTAACCCCAGTGAACTCTCAAAAATGACTTTGACTAGTTAACTAATTTAATTTGGAGACGGAATACATTCTTAAGAGGTAACCTTATTTTATTTAACCAATCTTCTTAGGGTAACCACTGCCTTTTCTATCTTACTCCCAGCGGGGCTGTGAGGATGAAAAATTCTAGTTAGGAGCACAACACAAGATAATGTTTATATGTGACTGAGTATGTACACTAACTCCATTCTAGAAGAGTAAAATTTTATGAGGAATCCAGGATTCTGGATTATCCACCCAACATTTGATATAGGGCAGGAAGAGCTGACTGTCGCGTTGACCGAATTTACCCCTTGTGCCCAAGACAGCGTTAGCTAAGATTCTTGGTTAGTATAAAAAGAATTTCATTCTAAGTTTCCTTTTTATACAACCAAATATTATAAATTAATTGTTTAATAAGAATTAGCCTAATAAGCCATCTGTAAAGGCAGTGAGCCTGTCTGGGTTTAAAGCTTGGGTCCAAGCTGGGTGCAATCAGCCTTGTTATTTAATCTCTCTCAAGGCTTCAGTTCCTTCATCTGTAAAGTATAAGAATAATAACCCTGATAGCAGTGTGTTGAGAAAATTAAATAAAATAAGTTAAATTAAATAAAATATGATCTTAAAATAATATTCTTCCTTGTAATTAAATTGGCTTCAGGTATTTTTGCTAAAAAGTAAGAGTGCCTGGTAGTATAAGTAACCTAGAATAAGATTAATATGAAGCTCACTGGGAATAAATTTAGAAATCATAAAAAAAACTGCTCTATTTTGAAAATTAAGTTGATAACCACATTCTTTGGAAGATGATATAATTTGATCACCATATTCCTCTTCACTGAATTTCCCTTCTGCTGGGCTAGTCAGCTGATATAGATTCTTATCATCCCACGTTTCAGCCAGTTCTGCACCCCACTCCCTCAACTTGTATATGAAACACATTCTGAACTGCACTTTTAAATACTTAAAGTTTAAGTCATAGAGGAGACGACATAAGGCCTTGTCTTAAAGACAATGAATTCTCAGAAAGAAATCAATGATTTATACCATGTCTCAGAGCTAGTTACTGGGGACTTGTAATCAGTCACTGGTCCTTTAGGACAGTGAGCAATCTAGGTTACTGATCTTAAATTCCCCTAAGTCAATAAGGTGGCCAGGGATCAAGATTGTTATCAGTTGCTACTAGTTTACTTAAGTTAACTACTAATGCCCGCCTGGATGAAACACAAGTTGCAATCATGATTGCTGGGAGAAATATCAACAATCTCAGATAAGGACATGACATCACTCTAACAGCAGAAAGTAAAGAGGAACTAAATGGCCTCTTGATGACAGTGAAAGAGGAAAGTGAAAAAGCTGGCTTGAAACTCAATATTCAAAAAACTAAGATCATGGCATCTAGCCCCATCACTTAATGGCAAATAGAAGGGAAAAAAGTGGAAGGGATGACATATTTTCTTTTCCTGGGCTCCAAAATCCCTGTGGACAGTGACTGCAGCCACGAAATTAAAGGACACTTGCTCCTTGGAAGGTAAGTTGTGACAAACCTAGACGCACATTAAAAAGCAGAGATACTACTTTGCCCGCAAAGGTCCATATAGTCAAAGCTATGGTTTTCCAGTAGTCATGTATAGATGTGAGTTGGACCATAAAGAAGGCTGAGCACTGAAGAATTTATGCTTTCAAACTGTGCTGTTGGAAAAGACTCTTGAGAGTCCTTTGGACTGCAAGGAAATCAAACCAGTCAGTCCTAAACAAAATCAACCCTGAATATTCACTGGAAGGACTGATGCTGAAGCTCCAATACTTTGGCCACCTGATGTGAAGAGCCAACTCACTGGAAAAGACCCCGATGCTGGGAAAGATTAAAGGCACAAGGAGAAGGAGGCAACAGAGGATCAGATGGCTAGATAACATCACTGACTCAACGGACAAGAATTTGAGCGAACTCTGGGAGACAGTGGAACACAGAGCAGAGTTGGACCTGACTTAGCGAATGAACAAGAAGAATAATTAAGTAACGCATTGGTGATGTGAGCACACATTCTACTGCTGCTGCTCAGTCAGAGGAGACTGACATTTTTAGGTTCAGCTAGGAACAGTGGTGAAGCTTGGGCAGAAGAATTTTCAGTACTCTTTAGTGGCTAGATATACTCCTTCTATTTCCTGTATTACAGTCACAATTAAAGGTGAAGCTTGTGTTCATCTAACATTCTATATAATTAAGGAAAAATATTTTATGTGACACTCATGAAGCTTTTAAAGTGTATTTTAAAAGGCTGTGCTAAAAAATTAGCTTGAATGTAGCAAGAGAATACCCACTAAATGTTGTATGGTTGTTTCAAGAAAAGGACACACAACTCAAAAACATAATTCAAGACTATGTAATTCAGACCAAGGTAGTGAGTCCCTGTTCATTAGCTAAATGCCAACAAGGGCAATCATTAACAAGGAACTTGAAATGAAATCATTCCTAGTGGATTTCCTTCTTATTTCAAGGAGGGCCAACTCATATTATCTTAAACCCTGCAAGTTAATATAGAGCACAGTTTCAAATGTGCATGGTTCAAATTAGCATAAATTGGGTTACTACTTGTAGCAAACAAGGAAGGATTAATCATTTGACTATGAATTGCAGTACTCATTAAGACAAAAACTGTTCCCATTTGTAAATGAGACTATAAGAGAATTCTTAAGAAAGTTTAAAACCTGAATTTGGACTTTTGTTTCCAGCAGCGTGGTAACTGAACTGAAATCTCTGAATTAAATGTGTGTGTGTGTGAATCAAGACAGATCTGTTACGGCTAGTATTACATGCCAAATTTGCTAGGCTGCAGTACCCCAATATTTGGTCAAACATAATTCTAGATGTTTCTGTGAAGGCATTTTTAGATGACATTAACATTTAAGTCAGTAGGCTTTGAGTAAATCAGACTACCATCCATTACCTGGGTGGGCCTCATCTAAACACTAGTTTAGGGTCTTAAGAGAAAAAGACTGAGGTCCCCGAGGAAGAAGGTATTCTGCCTCCAGACTACCTGGATTTGGACCACAACATCAACTTCTCTGGGTCTTCAGCCTGCCTTGAAATCAGCCTCCACAACTGTGCAGCCAATTCCTTGCCACCAATCAGTCTCTCTTACATATACATGTATGTACACATAGACACACATACAACAACCTATTAGTTCTGTTCTCTGAAGAAACTTGATTAATACAATATTTATCAAAAGTTTTAAATACATAAGAGTCAAAAAGATCTTCAGAAACCAACAGACACTAGGACTCTGGGGAAGAAAGCTAATATTCCAATGGCATGTTGACCTGGTAGAACCTGGTGACGCTAGTAAAACTGAGACCTGGTCTTCAAACTTCAGCCTTACAATGCATCTAAAAGAACTGAGAAAGAACTATATACTCCTTCATACATTTTTAAGTTGACATTCCATCATAAGTATAACAGTTGCAGGGATATAATTACTTACATGTCATAAACACAGATACACACACACATAGATTATATCTTAAAAACAAACTGCTGCATAATTTTTCAAGCAATTCAATGGACTCTGATTACAGTAGCAAAGTTACAGCTCTATCACCCCCTTTGAAAGACATGAATATCCTTAGGTTTATGAGATGAACAAGCGAGTGAGCAGTCTGAGTCAGAGCATTACTTGACCAGGTGCTTTATTAAGATGTCCAGCATCTCTCTGTTTCTCTCTGGCAACTTGTGCACCAATGCATGTACAGCTTCCACCCGGTAGTTTTGGTCATCAGATTCTGTAACATAAAAAAAGGTTGCAAATATTCAAATTCTAATTATATCAACATTAATAATTTAAACATCATAACCACTTCCATCCGTCATGCCTTATAAGCACTTCTTCACATGGTAAGTATTATCACTATTATTTCCTAAGGCTTAGAGTCACTGGGTAACTTGTCCATGATCTGTAATCACTAAGTAGAGAAGAACTCAGTTCTATCTAATCCTGACCTATGCTCTTAGCCTCTGAACTATATACTTCTATACAACTATAACTCATTTCCTCCTTTGGTTTTGTTACAAAAGGAGAGAATAAAACTTTTAGTAATATGAGTGATGGCAGCAGTTGTTACAAATGGTCTAATGTGCCAGACACCACAGTACACTTTATCACATTGAAACCTCTGAGTGACTCTATCAGACCAGAGGAAGGAGGCATTCTTTTCTAAATTTTATAGATTAAAAGACGGCAGAGAGTTATTTTTCTCAGGTGTCAGGATAATTGTGCAACCAAAGGCCTAGTAGATTTTAAGCCCATGCTGACCATGGTACATCTGGGAAGAAAAAAAAGAAAAATCATCTCAAGCAGATCCAGTCTGCAAGGAAAAAGCCAAGAGGCTGACAAGTTGGCTAGAGAAACTTGTAATGCTTCAGAAAAAGGAATCTATTTAACACACTCTTACTACAACAAACAAATTCTAGGGTGACTGCCCACCCTGCCAAGCCCTTTCTCCAGAAAGTGCCCAGTGCACAGGGTTTATAAATGGGAACTTCATCCCTTCCGGGCACAGCTATATGCACACGAGGTGAGGAAAGGGCCTGGTTTTCATCAGGCTAAACATGAAGTCTCTCCCAGGAGTTGGAATGGAGACACCAAAACTCTGATCTGTCTGCTGGATTCGTGCAAAGGCAGATCATGTAAAACAAGGCAGACCATCACCAAATGTGCTCCCAAGTGAAGAAAAATCTGTCTGTGAATGAGGTAGATATGCAGCAGAGAACAAAAATGAGAGACATCCAAAAAGAACTGGGAGGGTGGGTGAGAAACATCTCTTCCCAATTTTGCAGTTCCTGGATGCAGGCCACGGTAGGCAGGACCCATTCTCTGCCAAGGAGTTCTGACAGACTCCCCTTAAGTCTCTGAGTAACTTCCCCTTTCTTCCTGAGCTAAATTTCTCTTGCTCGAAGCCAAATGGTACCTATTTCTATTATCCTTGACCCAGACAGAAGATGGATTCTTATATATGAGAAATGCTTTAATTATCATGGTAGTGAATAACATGACCACTATTTGCCACAAAAGTGAAGAAAAAAAAATCTTGTGACCAAATGTTTGCATGAAAACAACCAGCTCATTGAGCCATTCTAGCTAACTGGATCAGACACCGTTTGTTAGAAGACGAATTTCTTGTAACAAAGTGTTCTAGGTTAAGAGTCAAAAATCCTGGCTTGTAGTCTTGATATTGCTATGAATTTACTAGGGTCCTTGGACAAAGTCACTTGTCCCCCTCTGGGTCCTGATTTCCTCGTTAATAAAACGAGGTTGGATTATATACTTTTTAAGGTCTTGTTCTTCTTATAAGGACGGATTTCTATAAAGAAGAAGTAGAGTGCAGAGCTTTCGGGAGAAAGCTAAGTGGTATAGATGTTCATGAGATCATGCGGTCAGTCATGTATGCAGGGCTGCAAACCAAGGTCATTCAGCTTCAGTTGACACTTTTAGCAGTAGATAACACCTCCTGTGACATTACAATGTGTGGTAATAAACTAATGCAGTTGATTTCTTTCTTGGATTGTGAAAAATACTCTTATTACAGTCATATCTTATTTATCTTAACAATGAAATGCCAACTCTTAACTGTTACAACTTGAGACTGGCTCAGATGGTGACCTGGCACTTGAGCCCAACGTTTTATACAACTCTAACTGCTCAGGTTACATGACTGCCACTGGTCCCCTCCCCTGCTCCCCATAATTTTGAATTAAACCTGTTTATTCATATAACATTAAGGCAGTCACAGATCTAAAGAAACAATATAGATATCTGATGAGTTTGTGAGTGTGTGCTCAGTCGTGTCTGACTCTTTGCGACCCCATGGACTGGAGCCCGCCAGGCTCCTCTGTCTATGGAATTTTCCAGGTAAGAATACAGGAGAGGGTAGCCATTCCCTACTCTAAGGGATCTTCCTGATCCAGGGATTCAACCTGCGTCTCCTACACTGGCAGGCAGGCTCTTTACCACTGCACCATCTGATCATCATCAATAAATATAATAAGAGAGAAAAGGTGTTGTTGCCTGCCAAAAATGGCTGGCTCTTTCTCCAGCTTTAGGAACAAATCATGTGAGTACAGTGGAGGTGGAGTCATAACTGATTGTACCTCTTTGTGGTCTTGTTTATTTAACCATGAAGTCACTCTTGTAAGAAGCTGACATTCATCAATCAAGGAAAATGTAATTCGAGTAATTCCTCACAGCTCTTTCTAATCACACCATACGTGCCACTCCAATGAGCCTTACTAAGTAACAAAGTGTCTTAGTTCATTCTATGACTTCTCATAACCATATTGTAAACTGTTAAGTATGAGGATGACAATTTCTTAAGCCATAGGTAGGAAAATGTTAACTAGCAGGTTTAAACTTACAACCTCTGATACGGCATAAAACCACATCAATTACAATGCATCCAATGGAAATGTACTTACTAACAGCAACAATAAAATCTTTGTGTAATTTGTAAGTCATCAGTGGTTCTGCAAGGCACCTACAAGAGAGAATACAGCAGATTTCAGAACAGTTACCTTCTGATTTCCCCTGAACTTTCAGTGCTTCTGTGAGAAGTACAATAAAGTCCTACCAGAGAGTTGACAAGTAGCTCTAAAATGCAGACCTCAAAGATACCAGTGTCCTGAGCACTTCTTGCTGCCACTGTATTAAAATGGGAGAGCCTGGGGGAATTATTTTTAATACTCTGTGAGAACTATTGGACTACAGGAACAAAATCCCTCTCAGAAATAGAGGCAATAGTTTATTTTTTTTTTAAATTCCAATTCAACTTGTGATGTTTTATAAATAATATACGAAGATCTGAATGAGTCTAATATGAAACAGAAATTATTATTTAGCGCTCATAAACTATCACAGCCTTTTAAGTTTACTGTTTGAAACAAGCACATATAAACCCCAGAACACTGAACGTAACTGTGAACAGTCTGAGCTAATCCACCTCCAGTGAACGAGCTGTGCCAAGAAGGGAAGAGGACCCCATGGGGCTCCCTGGGGTCCACGCTGCCTGCCCACAGGGGTGACCGTGAGACCACAGCAGAGTGGCAGGAAGCAGGCCCACCTCACCTGAGGTAGTTTTTCAGTCCACTTGTTATTGTCTTATTATCCCACAGCTCAATATCAATGTCCATGTCAGGAGGGGACTTGGGAGCTGAAAAGAATTAAAGTAAGATGCTTAAACTGTGAAATTCAAAATATCATGGGCACTATTAAGAAGACGGATGCAGACAAAAGTAGGTCAAAGAGAGAGGCATGCATTTCTTGAAAGGCCAGTGGAGCTAACTTTTGGACTGCTGTTTGCCTGAGTTGGTGCAAAGCACATTCTGACACCGAACCTCAAACATTTCTTACAGAACGCAGTTTCTCAAGTCAGATGTTTGCCCATTGCTAACGTCACAGCACACTTACCATGTGCTGGGCGTGCTTCTCAGTGCTTTACATGGACTAGCGCATCAAATTCTTATAATCCAATGAACCTCCTTCTATAAACGAGGAGGTGAAGGCACAGAGGGGTGAAGCAAATCACCCAAGGTCACAGAACTGTAAACTGGCTGAGCCAAGATTCCAGTTCAGGCCATCTGAATCCCAACACCCATAAATCTTACTGTACCTCTAGCTAATCAAAGAACACTTGAGGAAAAAGTCAATATTATAAAAAGGGTCCCTTTACAAATTCTGGTTGGTCATCTATAATAATGGCCATTAAAAATGAATACAAATATTAATTTTAGATATGACTTGAAAATACTCAAAGACAAGCAATAACCTATATCTCAAAAAATCCTATGGTTTGAATTTTCTATAAGAATGTAAAAGTTAAGTAAGTAACGGGCTTCAGCCAAAACTTACAAAATGTGGTATTCATGAGTTTCTGCACTTTGGAATTCACTCCTCCTATTCGGTAGAGACCTAAAATGGTGATGCCTAGTGAGAAGGAAAAAAATCACAAGAAAATGGCATAAGACACAAGTTCCAAGGACAGAATGTTAAAAACTCAGATCTATGCCTACATAAAATCTGGAAGGTATGCATCCAATTTTACAGTCTAACTTTAGCAAACCTACCCTGGAAACGCTCATCAGACATATATTTCTTAGAGCAAAAATGAACAGTGATTTGAAAGTCTATGAAGAGCTTCAAAATGGCAAAGTACTGCTGTCTATTCACCACTACCTGAATATAAAAAACCATTCAAGATGAGAAAGAATGATCAGTATTTCTCATATTCTGTTTCCTTAATCACGGAGTTCTATGTGTTGAACAGTTGGATGGAATTGCTAGCTTCACTTTAAAGCTGAGGATGGGACTGACATATATACACTTCTATATAAAAAAGAGATAACTAATAAGGACTTACTGTATAGAATAGGGAATTCTACTAAATACTCCATAATTGTCTATTTGGGTAAAGAATCTAAAATGGGGTCTATATATATGCATGTGTAAAACTGATTCACTCTGCTATACACCTGAAACTAACACAACATTGTAAATCAACTATTCCCCTCCAAAAATTAAACAGAAATAAAGGTGAGAAGACGGATTCAGAGATTTTTAAGGAAACGACTTGACTTTTCAAAACTTAAATGGCAGCACCAAACTTTGATTATAAGTTTAAAGAATTCCAAAGCCCAACAGGAGGTTTTGCTTTAGACAAGTTTTCCTGGAAGTAAAAGGCAACTAGGGTGGACTTCAGGACAGAGGTCATGACTAGACTGAAGACAGGTGCTGCATTTGTGACAGTGACAAAAATCACTGTGAGATACAATGCAGGGAAGGAGGAGAGCTGAATTCTAACTCCTCAGGAATCTTATTTCCTACAGCTTGGAAAAAAATAATAATATCGGTCCATCAAGAAGAAGTAAAGTGAGGCTATATCATGAAACTTCATGAAAAAGAAGTATGTCTGTAGTATGACTTTGGCAAACTGAAGCTCAAAGTACAGCTGTTTCATGTTTGCATAATTTATAAATCATATGTTTCTTAAAGTTAAGCTCCTGTTGATAACAAAGTACATCATGATTTCTGAGCAGCTTCTTTGTAAGAAGGGACAATGCATCAGTAATGGTGTACCCATCAGGCAGCACTGACCTCTCGTTTCCACAGCTTGGATGCATTTTCTCACAAAGTTGAACCCTGCTTCATTTAAGTACACTGGAAATAAAAGAAAACCATATTAAGTGTTTATGATGAACTAACATTACTGCTTCAGTCGGCTCTGTTGTTCCATGGCTTGATGGCACACAGGCTGTTACTGAATTTATCAAATATTTTGATTAGCATCTGATTTTTTATTTGGGGCTGGAAGTGAAAGAGGGAGATTCATATTCACCAATGTTTTTATATCAACTTGCTTCATTAAAAACACAGCTCTTTCACAGAAAGTAATATGTAAAATTGAGCCCATCCGTTTTCCCTGAAATTAGCATTTTACTTTCTACGTAAATCCTTTACTACGTATTTTTCTGGATGATAGAAGCAAATACAATAAAAATAAACTTTTACTGTGTGTTAATAATTATATTACAAAGCTATTCATATATTTTTCCCATGAGATTCTCCAAAGAATATTATGAGGTATAGATAAAGCACTGCAATCTTAAGGTGATTTACCAAGTTGCTGAACACTGCTTTTTTTTTTTGTTCTAAAGGTCTAGAGCCACATTTTAACTCAGGTCTCCTGAATTCTATGTTCTATTCTATTTCATTTCATATCATATTCAAAATAGTTCAAAATATGCATAGTAAGTTCACTAAAAATCCTCTCAAAGATTCTCCATTATGAAACTGCACTTTATTTTCATTGCTTTTTGACAGATTTTCTTAAGGTCTAGAGGTTGAATCAAATTAGACTACTTGTTTAAAGAGAAAGGATTTAAAAATACCAAATAATAACCCACAGGGAAAATTCAAAAAGTTTTGATACTATAATGCAAATTGTTACCAAATATAGTGAATATATGATATTCCCAAATAATAATTTATGAAGACAAAGACAAACCATTAAAAAATTAAAACTGGTTTCCATTTAAAGATGGTGGATTAAACACATAAATGCAACAACATAGATTCACAGAAAACATATATCAAAAAATTAGGCTAAAAAAAGGTGCCAGGAAAGATGAAAAACTTTGAAGAAATCCTAGGCATAGAAAATCACCGAAACTGAATTGACTGAAAAGTTTGAGAAATCAAAGATGAGAAATGAGAAACTGAAAAGCTAGAGGTACCACACTGAGCTATCACCTCACACCTATCAGAATGGCCACCAAACACACACACAAACAAAACAAATAACACATGTTGGCAAGGATGTGTAAAAAAACAGAACCCTTGTACACTGTTGGAGGGAATATAAATTGGTGCAGCCACAGTGAAAAACAGTATAGAGGTTTCTCAAAAAAGTAAAAACAGAACTACTATATAACCCAGCAATTCCACTCCCAGGTATATTAAAAAAAAAAAAAAAAACAAAACACCACTAATTCTAAAAGACACATGCTGATGTATGGCAAAACTCATCATAATATTGTAAAGTAATTGTCAAGATGTGAAAGAATAAACTGTATTGGCCAAAATAATGATGCATTTTTGCTTTATTGCCTTTGAACACCCTTTGCTATTGCCTGAAAGAGTAGACAGAGGTTCCGTGATAGAGGTAAAATTCAGCTTTGCTTAGAGCCAGGTGAATCTGGGGTTGGATCTCAACTCATGGCTTTGTGATGGAAGCGTGCCTATGAACCTTTATGAATGCTATCCTTTCATCTAAAAATGAGGGAAATAACACTACATGTCTTAAAGGATTGCAGTAAGATGAAGACAAAACCATGTGAACCAGTGAAGAGTACCAAACATGGAATAAATGTAATTAGATCCCTTCTTCATGTGCTCCTATCCACACACTACCGAGAAACAGAAGAAATGATAAAAACAAAGAAAACAGTCAGCCACTAGTGCTAAGCAGAAGAAAGAGACATAGTTACTCTCCGACCTAGTAACTGTATTACTGGGGATAGTTTTAATTCTTTATCTTATTTTCCTCTTCCATAAAATAAGGATAATAGTAATACTGTCTACATATGGCTATTCCTAGGTGAAATATGTTAACATTTGCAAGTATCCTAGAATAATATTTAGAATATAGTGCTACAGAGTGTTGGCTCTTATCATCATCATCATTGTTACTGACTAGAGGAGAATGTAAAATCTACATACTCAAATCACATGAACAAGGTATTCTTTGGGCAGGGCTGAAGTCCCTGGGGATTGAGGTACTATCGGCCTGGAGCATAATTCTTCAAAGAGCCATCAGTTCAGTTCACTCGCTCAGTCGTGTCTGACTCTTGTGACCCCACAAACGGCAGGCCTCCCTGTCCATCACCAACCCCAGAAGTTTGTTGAAACTAAAGTCCATTGAGTTGGTGATGCCATCCAACCATCTCATCCTCTGTTGTCCCCTTTTCCTCCTGCCTTCAATCTTTTCCAGCATCAGGGTCTTTTCCAGTGAGTCAGGTCTTTGCATCAGGTGGCCTAAGTATTGGGAATTTCAGCTTCAGCATCAGTGCTTCCAATGAATATTCAGGACTGATTTCCTTTAGGATGGACTGGTTTGATCTCCTTGCAGTCCAAGGGACTCTCAAATGTGTTCTTCAACACCACAGTTCAAAAGCATTAATTCTTTGGCGCTCAGCTTGCTTTATATTCCAACTCTCATATCCATACATGACTACTGGAAAAACCATAGCTTTGACTAGATGGACCTTTGTCAGTAAAATTAGGTCTCTGCTTTTTAACATGCTGTCTAGGTTGGTCATAGCCTTTCTTCCAAGGAGCGAGTGTCTTTTAGCTTCATGGCTGCAGTCACCATCCACAGTGATTTTGGAGCCCAAGAAAAGAAAGTCCCTCACTTGGTTTCATTGTTTTCCCATGTATTTGCCATGAAATGAGGGGACTGGATGCCATGATTTTAGCTTTTTGGAATCTTGAGTTTTAAGCCAGCTTTTTCATTCTTCTCTTTTACTTTCATCAACAGGTTCTTTAGTGGCTCTTCACTTTCTGCCATAAGAGTGATGACATCTGGTATCTGAGGTTACTGATACTTCTCCTAGCAATCTTGATTCGGCTTGTGCTTCATCCAGCCCAGCATTTCAGATGTTGTACTCTGCATAGAAGTTAAATAAGCAGGGTGACAATATACAGCCTTGATGTACTCCTTTCCCGACTTGGAACCAGTCTGTTTTTCCATGTTCAGTTCTAACTGTTGCGTTTTGATTTGAGGCAGGTAAGGTGGTCTGATATTTCCATCTCTATGAATTTTCCACAGTTTGTTATGATCTACACAGTCAAAGGCTTTGGCATAATCAATAAAGCAGAGGTAGATGCTTTTCTGGATTCTCTTGTGTTTTTGATGATCCAATGGATGTTGGCAATTTGATCTCTGGTTTCTCTGCCTTTTCTAAAACCAGCTTGAACATCTGGAAGTTCATGGTTCATGTACTATTGAAGCCTGACTTGGAGAATTTTGAGTATTACTTTGCTAGTGTGTGAGTTGAGTGCAATTGTGCGGTAGTTTGAGCATTTTTTGGCATTGTCTTTCTTTGGGATTGGAATGAAAACTAACCTTTTCCAGTCCTGTGGCCACTGCTGAGTTTTCCAAATTTGCTGGCATACTGAGTACAGCACTTTCACAGCATCATCTTTTAGGATTTGAAATAGCTCAACTGGAATTCCATCACCTTCACTATGTTCATGGTGATGCTTCCTAAGGCCCCTTTCACATTCCAGGATGTCTGGCTCTAGGTGAGCGATCACACCATCGTGGTTATCTGAGTCATGAAGATCTTTCTTATATAGTTCTCCTGTGTATTCTTGCCACCTCTTCTTAATATCTTCTGCTTCTCTTAGGTCCATACTGTTTCTGTCCTTTATTGAGCCCATCTTGGCATGAAATGTTCCCTTAGTATCTCTAATTTTCTTGAAGAGATCTCTAGTCTTTCCATTTTATTGTTTTCCTCTATTTCTTTGCAGTATTCACTGAGGAAAGCTTTCTTATCTTTCTTTCCTATTATTTGGAACTCTGCATTGAAATGGGGATATCTTTCCTTTTCTCCTTTGCCTTTAGCTTCTCTTCATTTCTCAGCTATTTGTAAGGCCTCCTCGGACAATCATTTTGCCTTTTTGCTTTTCTTCTTCTTGGAGATGGTCTTGGTCACCACTTCTTGTACAATGTCACAAACCTCTGTCCTTGGATCTTCAGGCACTCTGTTTATCAAATCTAATCCCTTGAATCTATTTGTCACTTGCACTGTATAATTGTAAGTGCAATTATAATTTTATAATTGATTTTTGTCATACCTGCATTGTCTAGTGGTTTTCCCTATTGTCTTCAATTTAAGTCTGAATTTGGTGATAAGGAGTTCATGATCTGAGCCACAGTCAGCTTCTGATCTTGTTTCTGCTGACTGTACAGACTTTCTCCAACTTTGGCTGCAAGGAATGTAATCAATCTGATTTCAGTATGGACCCTCTGATGATGTCCATGTGTAGAGTCGTGTCTTGTGTTTTTGAAGAGGTGGTTACTATAAATAACAATGAGCAAACCCATCCTCTCATTGGAACTCAACAGATTACAGCAGTTTGGGACTATCAATCACCTGTATTTGTTGCCCCTTCCTGTAGGATGGTTGTGTGTCTCAGCTCTCACTAAGACAGTTTGGTCACATGATATGCACTAGCCAATGAAACATGAACAGAAGTGACAGACATTGTCATCCATCAGTCAGGGAGAACTGGTGTGTAGGAGCTTGACATTTTCTAGTCCCCTCTGGCACAAGATCATCAATATTAGAGAGACAAGGTACTCCATGAGCTTGGATTTTAGAGTAAAAACTATAAATAAGAGAATCACAGCTGACCTGAATGAACCTAGAGCATAATCAAGATATGAACCTTCACTGTGGTAAGTCTCTCAATCACAGCATAACCTGGTGTTTCTGATTTAATTATATATAACTTCAACAGTTTTCTACTCAAAAAGGACTAAATGAAAGAAAGGCAATCCCACACTCTTAGCTTTTACTTGCTTAACTGGAATGTAGCAGAGGTTTTTTGGCTACTGAGTTGCCAATTCCTATAAAAAGACATCAAAAGGCAAT